AAGTATATATAAAAATAAATCCTTTCAATATAAAACACTCTATATAATATATAAAATTATTATTGTACTTTATATAAACTATACCTGTTTAGCTAGTTATTAACATTAATAATCTAATCCTAAAAATAAAAAATATGAGGTTTGGGATAGGTTTAATTGAAGCAGTATAAGGTTATAAGCTAACATAATTGTGGCGATGATGCAGAATAAGAAACATTAGAGAATTTAAATGGGTAATCTTCTAGTTAGATTACAGATATAGTATATAGTATAAAATCTTTGAGCAGACTACTTAAATAGACAACCAAAAGTTGTATGTGTGGCTAAATGTACTCTCATTAACCAAAAATATACTACTAAAATGGCTAATAAAAATTTGCCTTTCCATAACATTGTAAAGGCAAAAAAAAAAATTATCTGACATTTTTTTAAAATATAATAAATATAAACTTTATGTTTAAATATTTTTATCTTCTCTTGTTGCTTATATATATCACAAGTCTTCTATACTACATCATGATTATTATAGCATTCAGAAAAAACTTTTGAATGACCTGCTACCTATATAATCACCTACAGTAATAATTCTCTTTGATGAACTTGTAATTGTTTTACTATTGCTCTTTGATTTTCTTTTCTTCTTTTTAAACTAATATAATTATCATCAAAGTCATCAGGTTTATAATCAGAGTTGTCATAATCATCAGAATCATGATAACTATTAGATAAAAGATTGTTAAATATGCTATATCCTAATCTATTACCAACATTATCATTAATGATAAGTTGGCTAATATAATAAGGATTCTTCTAGGCATCTCTAGCTAGAGATGCCTAATGATAATATTCGGGCTTAATAGCCAATTAAAATACAAATAAATTATATGATTGCTATTTTTGTATAGTACAAAGATAACACAAAGAACGATCATCACAGATTAGTTCAACAAAACAAAAACAACAACAAAAGAGCGAAAAAAGTAAAAAATGTCCATCTAAACCTATTCTGGTGTATTAATTAAAAATATCGGGAAGACAATTTTATATATAAAACTTGCTTTCGCTCTAACCTTGTACAACCCTAACTTTAGTTAAAATCATATGATCAAATGTAGTTTTACGCTGAAAATGTATAAGCTAAATATCTCTAGCTAGAGATGCCTAGAATTTTCCATATAGTAAATGCATTTGTATAATAATATTAGTAGATTAAACAATATGAAAAACAAAAAGAGTGGTTGGTGTTGTTTCTTCTTGCTTAAAAAAATACATATTACTATAATTTGATAAAATACCATAATAGAGAATATTACAAGCCATTTCACTAAATATCTGCGATAAGATCCTTTTCTTAAATTTAAAATTTTCAATACTAGTCTCTAAAATTTGTATCTATTATTCTACACTGATCATTATATTAATAAATATCCTAGAAATTATAACTATGTAAATCAAGATTGTGACGCATTTTTATTTCTATCAGCATCTTAGTCACTGCATAATTATTGATATATAAAACATAGTCAGAAATATACAAAAATCTAGCAGGTGTTGTATCAAATAATCCTTGTAACAATAATCCTTTTTGATAAAAAATAATATATTAATATCAGAGTAGATTTGATTAGACCAATTTGACCATTAACCGGTTTGATTTGATCTTGTGATACTGATCAAATTGGTTAAATAATTTAGTTACATAGACCAATATGATCAATATAACCAGTTAGACTATAGTTATATTAGTTAAATTAGTTATATTGATCTGTATAATCAGATTAACATTATACAAACCAATATGATCAATATGACTAGTTTGATTATAGTCATATTGGTCAAATCAGTCATATTAGTCTGTATAATCAGATCAACTAATAATTTGTAGCTAAAGTTCAATTCTATTAAAAGTTTTTGCAAGCTCTTTATATTTTACCAATTTTAAAATCTATCTAATATATGCTTAAAAATCTATTTATATCAATAAGATATTTTGTATTTGTAATAGGAAGTCTAGATATTTAATCAAATCAGATTCGATTAATATAAATCCTGCTAAATATAATATATATAATACTTGGTAAGTTTACTATTATAAAAGTTTTTATTTTAGTAATTTACTATATTGCTAACTAAATCTATTAAAATTCAATAAGATATTATTTATTATTATTTAATCTAATTATGCTATATCAGATATTTTATAGTTGATTTTTTAAATACAAATGTTGATAGCAAAACTAATTTTGTTATTATAATAAAATTTGTCAACCAAATAGCAATTGCATTATATTTTATATTATAATTGGTCCTAATTATTCAAAACTATAAAATTATTTTCAACATATTGCTGAAGAGTACAAACAAATGAAAGTTGTAATAAAGCATATATAAAAAGGTATTTAAATTCAATTTTTGAATCTTCTTGTCTTCTTTTTTTTAATTTTTTCTATTTGTATATTTTCTTCTTCTTTTTATTTTCGTAATTCCTTCCATTTTGTTAATTCTTTTTTTTAATTTCTTCTTTGCTCATTTCGGCTATATATTCAATTGACTTTGGGTTTTGGCTTACCTATTTGGCCTTAATTGCCCACTTTTCTATTTGGCCTTCTTCTATTCTTCTGCATTCAGCTTCATTTAATGCTATACAAAATCTTCCGTATGCAATTAA